CTCGGCAAAAAACCAAAAAATAAAAGAATTAAAAATGGAAAAAAAAAAAGGAATCGCTTTAAAATAAAAGGCTTTGCTAAAATATAAAAGGCTTTTGCAAAAACGAAAATACCTGGTTAAATAAATAGGTTATAACAAATCGGAAAATTCGTAAATCCCAAAAAAAGGATATTACAAAAAAAATTGTTTAAGCGTATAAAACAAATTTATTAAAAGCAAGTTTATAGGATAGGAAAAATACCGGACTTTAGCGGGTAAATACCCGGAAAGGACGGGGGTATTACAGGAAAAAAGTAATAAAAGCTAAAAAAATGGCTTAAAAAAATGTTTTAACGTGCCGAACCGGCTAGCTATTAAAAAAAACGTAAAAAAACCCGTAAACGGTTTATAATAACCGTAAAATATCGTGCTTTATAAACAAAAAGTTAGGTAAAAACGGTATAGTACGGGGAATGCCCCAAATTAATAGTGCAATACATTTAAATCCCAAAAAATATGCAAAGTATAGCATATTTTGGAAAGCCCGTAAAAGGCATGCTTAGCGCGATACGCTAAAACAATTACCGCATTTTAAACGTACGTTATAGTAAAAAATACCATTGTTTGCCCGAAAAAAAAATAAAAAAATTTTCGAATGGTACGGCGGACGGGCTTAAGCGTTCGGGTAATAGCAAATGCATATTGGCGGTATTTAAACCCATTGGGGGGCAAAAAAAAAGCATTTTAAAATTATTTATTAAAGCATTAAAATTTAGTTGGTAATTAAGGATATTGGAATTTTGCAATGCTGTAAAAGCAATATAATAAAGGGAAATTGTGGTTTTAATTATAACAAATTAACGAAAAAAATTTAAAATTAATTACTTTTCGAAAAGGGAATACCAATAATTAATTAAAAAAATATGTAAAAAAAATCGATTAAATGCCGTATCCAAAAAAACCAAAACCTTTAAAAATTACGTTTTTTTCGTTAGCGCTATAATTATTGCCGCTAAAATCGTTAGCGCCGAAGGCGGCACTTTCCGGCGTTAATACGAACGCCGCACCTTTACGGGAAGCCGCGCGGTTGTAAGTTTGGGTATCCAAATGCGCCGCAATCGTAATAAAGCTAACGGCAATATTACCAAAAAAAACAACTATACCTTTTTCGAAACGCTTAAAAAACGCTTTTATTTCGTTAAAAAAGTTACCGATACTAACCAAAATTTAAGCTTGCTTTTTCGTTTAAACGGCGATAACGTAAAATTGCTAAAAAATATTTTAAATAACCTTTAATATCGTAGCGTTGGCAATTTTGCGCTAAATACGTTTTTGGATAACGGCTTAACGTTTGTAGCGCGCAAATTATTTGGCCGATATGGTATAAAAGGATTTAGCCTTTTAAATAGCTTTGCGGGCGCGAAATTAAGCTTTAGTAAGCTTTTTAAAAAGCTTCGGTATCGCTTCGAACAACCGTTTGTAAACGGTATTTAAAATTTTGTAAAGGTTTTGGGCCATTTTTTAAAACCATTTGGAAAGTTTAACGCAAGCTTTGTTGCTAACCACGTTTTTGCAATAAATACATTTAAAGGACCCTATACAGTTATCGAAGCATATCGGTACACGGGGGTTAACGGTATAATTTTAATATGCTTAACGATTAAAATAGCGGTTACAAAATACCGTACGCTTCGTATAATTATCCTTAAAAAAGGGTAAATAAATAAAGTTTTAATTATTGCTTTATTAAAAATCGATAACTTCCCGCAACGGGAGCGCGTTGCAAATACTTATATAAAGTAAAAAAAAAGCAATGTCCGTTTTGGGGGCAGGTTTATTAAAATCGAAAGCGTTGCGGCGGCGTTTATTGCGCGCTTTACGCTTTTTTTGGCAAAAATCTTTTTGCTGCGGCGGTTAAAACCCGCCGGGGGGTTACCGGCAAAACGCTTGCGGGAGTTTTAAAAGGTTGCAAACGCAAAAGGGCCCGATAAACCCGCAACATTTAAAAGGTTTACCGAAAAGTTACTGGTAAAGCGATTGTTAAGGATTTAAAGGACTAAAGGCTTCGGCGAAACCGAATTTAAATCCAACTAAATTACGATAGCTAAAAAAAATACCGGGGGGTCGCCAGGAAGGGCTAACGGGCCGGTTAAAACCGAAAAACCCGAAACGAATACCCAAAAAAATACCACTTTTTTTACGTAATTAGGTACAAAGGATAATATTTACAATTACCGGTTAAGTCCAAATGTTTAAAAAAAACGGTTAAATACTAATTATTTACGGTTACAATCGTTAAAATTGTTAAAATAATTATTAAATGCATAAAAAGGAAAAAAAAAAGCTCGTAATTTCGAGCGGGAAAAAAAGCCTTTTATATACCGGTACGGACTTACTTTTTCAAATGTTACAAAGTTTTACAGCCGGTTTTTTTAAGCGTTGCCGGGCATTGGGGCGGCTTAACGGGATACCGTAAGCTACCGGCTACTTACGGGGTTGCACGCGCGGTACAAACGGCTTAAAACAAACCGTATCGAAAAAGGGCAATATGTTAAAAGCACGGGCGAAACCGCCCGGTAAAAAACGGAAAGCGTTAAATGCACGGGCAAAACCGCCCGGC